CCTCCCTCCTCCCTCGTCCCCTCCTCCCTCCCTCGTTGCCCCTCCCAAGGTAACAGCATACGTTCCGCGCACTCTGGAACCCGCGGCGTGAGACGGACCCCGCGGTGATTCGGGAGACTTGTGCTACGACCGGCGCTCGTAAAGGGGGCAGCCGTGGCGCTGTCGCCAACAATCTGGCCGTTTACCTTCACGAAGAAGAGAGCGAGCCAAAAGAGCGACAGGACGAGCACGAGAAGCGGCACACCCCCCGAGGGAGATGCCCCGCCCTGCTCCATCCCTCGTTGCCCTCCCTCCTCCCTCCGCCCTCCTCCCTCCGCCCTTGGCCGTCGGTTCGCAGACCTCGCGCGTGGGCTCCTTCCTCCCTCCCGCCCTCATCCTCCTCCCTCCTCCGCCTCCCCCCTCTCTCCCTCCTCCTCCTTCTCCTCCTCTCCTCTCCCTCCTCCTCCCCCCTCCTCCTCCTCCTCCCTCCTCCCCTATCCTCCCCTCCTCCTCCTATCCTCCTCCTCCTCTCCTCCTCCTTCCTCCTCCCTCCTCCTCCTCCTCCTCCTCCTCCTCCTCCTCCTCCTCCTCCTTCCTCTCCTCCTCCTCCTCCTCCTCCTCCTCTCCTCCTCCTCCTTCCTCCTCCTCACCTCCTCCTCCTCCTCCTCCTCTCCTCCTCCTCCTCCTCCCTCTCCTCCTCCTCCTCCTCCTCCTCCTCCTTCCTCCTCATCCTCCTCCTCCTCCTCCCCCTCCTCCTCCTCCTCCTCCTCCCTCCTCCTCCTCCTCCCTCCGCCCCTGGCCGTCGGCTCGCGGACCCCGCGCGCGGCTCGCAGCCCTCCCAGGTGGCTCCCGGCCCTCGCGTGCTGGCGGGCCCTCGCCTCCTCTCCGCCGCGCCCGCACGCTCGCCACGGTCAAAACCCTTCATAAGGACGCGCGGCAAGGACGCAAGAGCCTTGGAGGCCGAAGCTGGGATTGTTTGGGGCGGCGGACGACGAAAACCTCGAGGACGCAAGAGCAAAGAAGAGCAAGGACGCAAGGGCACCCTGAGCAAAGTCGCGCCTCCTCATTGGGGCTTTTGACTGTACCCCCCAAGGCATTCTCCGACCTGGCTTTTCCCGGCCCTCCTGCGGCGGGCTCTCGCTCTGCACAGGGCGCTGCGGCCTCTGCTCCTTTTCCTCCCGCGTCCCGCCTCCCCTCCGCTCCGGCCTGCCTGCCAGCCTGCCTCCTACCTCGCCGCCCTGCCTGGGTGGCTCGCTGGGGGGCCGCGAGCTGCGAAACCGACCCAGCTTCCGAGGGCTGCTGGGGGTGGCTAGCTCAGCTGGTGCCGCACGCAGACTCAGATTAGACCTCGCCATCCTGGGGCGCTGCGAACTGCGAAACTCTCGCAACGTTCGAGGCCTGCTGGCGGGAAGGGGGCTAGCTTCGTGGGTGCCGAGCGCAGACTCGACCTCGCGCAGACTCGACCTCGCCATCCCTGGGGGGCTGCGGACTGCGAAACTGTCCACACGTTCGACGGCTGCTGGGGGAGCCAGCTTGATGTGCACCAGCCGCAAATGTGGATTAGCCCTTGCCATCTCTTTAGGGTCGCGAAATGCTCACCTTCAAAGGCTGCGGGGGGGGGCAGCTCAGTCGGTACCGAGCGCAGATTTAAACTACACGTCGCCATCCCAAGGGGGCTGCGAACTGCGAAACTGTCGTCACTTTCGAAGGCTGCGGGGGGGGGGGGCAGCGTAATGGGTAGACCTTGCCATCCCTCGGGGGCTGCGAACTGCAGAACTGTCGGCACTTTCGAAGGCTGCAGGGTGGGGGGCAGCGTAGTGGGCACTGGCAGCAAATTCAGACTAGACATTGCCATGCCTGGGGGGCCGCGATCTGCGAAACTGTTGTCACTTTCGAGGGCTGCTGGGGGGGCCAGTGGAGTCACGTCAGACGTAAACTCAGATTAGACTTCGCCGTCCCTGAGGGGGGTGCGGAATGACGTCATATGCAGACTCAGATTTGACCTCGCCATCACTAGGGGCTGCGATCTGCGACACTGTCGCCACGTTCGATGACTGCTGAGGAGGCCAGCGCAGTGACGTCCTGAACGAACGCTGATTAGACCTCGCCCTCCCTCTGGGGGCTGCGAGCTGCGAAAGCAACCGCTTTCGACTGCTGGGGGTTCAAGCGGAGTACCGTAGCGTGGCCATTTCTGGGGGGGACTGCGAACTGCGAAGCTGCCGTAGCTTTGGAGGGCTGCTGAGAGGGGCCAGCTCGCGCAGTGCTGTCCATATCAGAGTGGGATCTCGCCTTCCCTGGGGGAGTGCGAACTGCAAACTGTCGCCACTGTCGTGGGCTCATTAAGGCCAGCTTACTGCCGTGCTGCTCAGATCAGAGCGGGGTGTCGCCATCTTTGGGGGGGATCCTCACTTCTTGTCCTTCTGTGGCTGTCCTATGAAACGTGCAACTCGCACGCACATGGTACGCAACTTGCACGACAACTGCCGGCCCCTGCATTACCATCCACACCAATTGGGTCCCCCTTCTCTTTCCACTCGGCGCATCTGGGCTGGGCACGTCGCAATGTAAGGCTAGATCCGCGGCTCTAGACCTTCTGAGAAACCCTTCCCCCAGGGGGGGGGGAATTGCGTCCCGGATCACTGTTCCCAGACCCCCGACGCCGCGATCTTTTCAACACTTCGACCCCCGGAGGTCTGGACCCCTTCCCTGGGGCCGGTTTATTACGACGGCATGGGGGCAAATGAGTTTCACGGTGTGTGGATGTACTGATGGACGCTGCCCCGAGTGAGAGGGAGACGGCCCTGCCGCCCGAAACTCCGAAGGTGTCGAGCGCCACCGTCGGGCGGGACCATATATTTCTTCATCCCGATGTCGTTTCTTGACGGTCCCGAGGCCCGGCAAGGGGCCCCCGGGGGCCGAAGCGAAGCAGCCATACGAAAAGCGCGCGTGGGCAAGACCATTGGCGAGCGTGCGAGCTACGCCAAACGCGTTAGCTGGCGGACAGGAGGCGCCAAACGCGCGACAAGACAGACAGCTACGACGCGCCAAATGCGCGCCAGGAGGATGAGGAGAGGAGGAAGATGACGACGATGGAGAAACCTCCCGCCGTGCCTTCTTCACGACGCAAAGGGGGTCTGGGTTTGAGGGCACCGGGGCCCGACAACGGGCCCCGGAGGCACGCCGCGCCTCCGCCTCCGCCTCCTCCTCCTCCTCCTCCTCCTCCTCCTCCTCCTCGATCCCCCTCCTCCTCCTCCTCCTCCCTCCCTCCTCCTCCTCCCTCCTCCTCCTCCTCCCTGCACCTCCTCCTCCTCCTCCAGATCGTCGGAGGTCTGGAACCCTGCCTCGCCCCCCCCCCCCCCCCCGACGAGGAGGCGGGCATTGACCCGAGCAGGCTCCTGGGACGACCGTGCCGAGGACTTGGGTCCGCGAGAGCTGCCACCGAAGTGCAGGGAGAAGATCGCGGAGATGGCCCTGTCGCTGGGGTGCTCCCCGAAGCCGCGGTACCCTGACGGGGCCGGGGCCGTCTCGAAGACAGGATCGAGGAGAAGACGGAGGAGGGGGAGGAGGGGGAGGAGGAGGAGGAGGAGGATAGTTCTGACGGGAAGGAGGAGGAGGAGGAGGATGAGGAGGAGGAGGAGGAGGAGGAGGAGGAGGGGGATCGAGGAGGTGAGGGAGGAGAAGGAGGAGGAGGAGAAGGAGGAGAAGGAGGAGGAGGAGGAGGAGGAGGAGGAGGGGGATCGAGGAGGTGAAGGAGGAGAAGGAAGAGGACGAGAACATGGTCAACAAATACTTTTAAAAAAGTCCCGAGACTATTTTTTTAATACTATTTTTGAATATTCCTCCTGTGGAGGGACAGGCCCGACTTAGGCCTGGCCAGCCGAGGCCCCTCCCCTGCCAAAGGGCGAGCCGACGTGGTGCGAGGGGGCCACTCCCGCTAACGGGGGCACGGGGCCGGACCTGCCCTCTCCGCCTCATCCTCTCCTGCCCTTCTCGGAGGGCCGCAGGTGCCGTGGTGCCTGGGCTCTCGGAGCCTGGTGGTGCCGGGGTCAACCATCCATCCAGCCATTGGTCGTTGTGATTTCGTTTCGTCGTGCGCGTGTGTGTGTGTGTGTGTTTTCGTTTTCGTTTCGTTTTCGTTGTCCATCGTTTTCGTTTAGGTCCACCCGTGTGTGTGTGTGTGTGTCTTGAGAGCGCACGTGCGCGCGTGCGCGTCCACCTCCCCTGTGCTCTCCCCTCCCTAGGGCTCCCTGGTGCGGCGACAGCAGTATGGAGAGGGAGGTGTGGGGAGCGAGCGGAGCCGCCCTTTCTCGCGCGGCCCGCCGGCGCCGCCTGCTTCCCTCGCTCTTTGCGGCTGCACGCGCGACTTGCACAGGCGCCGAGCGTGCCGCCGTGATCTGCTTTTCTGTTGTGACGGGGCCCTGGGACACACAAAGAAATAGACACAAACAACAGGATTCTCACAATTTCCCATACTTCCTGGGCTCCTGCCTTCCCCCCCACTTCCCATACTTTCGCACGTTTTCCACGGAGTCGACGATTCGTTGTGTCTGTGTGTTTTTTCCCCTCCTGATGCTGGCCAGAGCGCGGCCGGCCCTGGCGACGCCGGGGCCCCGCGTGACGCCCCCGCCGGGGGGGGGGGCCACGCGGCACCCGTCGCGCGCCGAGCACGTGCGGGGGGCCCCTCCCGCCCGCCCCCCCCCCCTCCCGCCAGCCAGGTGCCACGTGCCTCCGCCCGTGGATGATGTGCTGGATGGGGTTGTGGACGCCATGACTGAAAGGGGCCCTGGGGCACACAAATAAATACACACAGATAAAAGAAAGGATTCCCCATCTTTTCCCATATCTTCTGAGGCTTTGTCTTCCCCCCCACTTCCCATATGTTCCCATATCTTCCTGGGAGTGGACTATTCATTGTGTCTGTGTGCTTTTTTCCCCTCCTGAATGACAATGGACACTCTAACAATGCGGTCATTGAAGTAATACATGTGTTTGAACTGTAAAACATGTTCTAAAAAGGTTTCAAACATGCTTGAAACATGTTTCAAACATGTTTTAGACATCTGGAAATTAATTGGCAGCACGCTTCCTTTCTATGAATCGACTTCCACAAGGATATGGGAGGGGGGGAAGGGGAGCAGGGCAAGGCAAGTAGAAGAAGAATAACGGAACCACAAGCACATAGTTAAACTTTTGTCGCTCCGCCCGGATTTCTCGGATTCGCGCTGTAATTACCTCCCTTCCTGGCGCGCGGAGCGCGCCCGGGGCGGCGCCGAAGGCGCCGCCGGGGGGCCCATGCGCGGATCCAAGAAATCCGCGCGGAGCGCCCAAAATTTTGGTTTACGCGTTTTGTTCTTCCTCGAGTAAGGCACGGCTGTGCCGCACGTGCTTCCCGCCTCGTTCGGCCAGCGCGGCCGCGTTCGGCGGTGGAAATCTGCGTTTCCCCGATTGGAACGGGACCCGTCGCTAATCCACGCCCCCTTTAGTCCATGCCTGCGATCGCCCGAAGATAGGGGAGGGGGGAGGGGAGCGGGGCAGGGTAAGGCAGGGCTGTGCCGCACGTGCTTCCCGCTGTTGCCTGCCTGGACCCGCTGGTGGGGCAGAGGCTGGCCATAGCGGCCGCGAGCAGAGCCGGCAGATGCCACCCGCCGCCCACAAGGAGGCGTTTTCCAGAGGCGCTCGAGTCCCCCGCTCCTCCTCCTTCTTCTCCTCCTCCTCCTCATCATCTTCCTCCCGAGAGGTGTCGCCAGGGAGACATATGTTGGAGGCCTGGAAGTGGGCACCAATACCAACACAGAGGGCTGCCTCCACAGGGGGAAGAGGACCCTCGATTTCGGCGTTGGTGGTAGTATTTCGGTCACCCTGGAATCCAGAATATCACCACCATCGCCGAGATCGGGATCTTCTTTCCTCGGTGGAGGCGCACCGCCGATGTTGGTGTTGGTGTCAACCTCTAGGCCTGCGAATATGGGGAGCCTGTGCTCGCGAGCGCCGGGCGCCCAAGGATGCGGAAGTGATGTGCCAGCCCTTTTGGCAGTGGCCTTCCCTCCCTGGAAAGGCTGAGGTCATCGTGCGTGGTGATCCTTCGCCGTCCCATCTCCCGCTACTCTGGCAGGGTGCGAAGAACGTTGCCCCCCCCCTCACAGTAAGGAAGGCTGGACCAACCATGTCCGACTCTATGATTGCTGTTGCGGTTTAGTTGCACAGCCGATTCCGCGGCCAGGGAGTGACCGTTCACTTTTTGGAGACCTCCCCGCCGCTCGCACTGTGTGCACTGTCCTTGCGCATCTACGCCTGCTGCTGCCGTCCTGCTGCTGCAGTTCAGAGCTCAGCCCGCCGGGCTCATGTTCCGCGCCCGCGCTGGCCACTTCCCCCTCCATCCTCGTGCGCAGCTCTCCCGAGACCTCGGCGCCCGTTCCGACTGCCGGCTGAACGCCGGCTGCTGCCAGAGGAGGGGAAGGGAGTGGAGCTCGGGGATTGCGGGGGGATCGGCTTCTCACGAGACCTCGGTGCCCGTTCTGTCCGATGGCTGGATGCCACTTGCCGCCAGACAGCTGAGTGCCAGCCTTCTCCGACAGGTCGTGAGCCTCATCAGAGCCGCAATCCAAAAAAATATCCCAGTGCGACCCTACCTAGAAGTTGGAGCCCCTAGGAAAGCAGCATTAGTAGTAACAGTAACGCTAAGCTAAAGCTAAGCTAAAGCTAAGCTGAAGCTAAGCCACAGCTAAGCTAAAGCTAAGCTAAAGCTAAGATAAAGCTAAGCTAAAGCTAAGCTAACGCTAAGCTAAAGCTAAGCTAAAGCTAAGATAAAGCTGATCAGCAGCTAAGCTAAAGCTAAGCTGCAGCTAAGCTAAAGCTGAGCTAAAGCGAAGCTAAAGCTAAGCTAAAGCTAAGCTAAAGCTAAGCTAAAGCGAAGCTAAAGCTAAGCTACAGCTAAGCTAAAGCTAAGCTAAAGCTAAGCTAAAGCTAAGCTGCAGCTGAGCTCAAGCTAAGCTCAAACTAAGCTAAAGCTAAGCTAAAGCGAAGCTAAACGCGAAGCGAAAAGCTAAGCGAAACGCTAAGCGAAACGCCGAGCTACAGCTAAGCTAAAACTAAGCTAAAACTAAGCTAAAGCTAAGCTAAAGCTTAAGCTTAAGCTTAAGCTTAAGCTTAAGCTAAAGCTAAAGCTAGAGCTCCCAGGGGACTGGGGGAACCGCGGGGCGGGGACTGGGGGAACCGCCCGGCGCGATTTCCACTGCCCGGCCCCTTCAAGCTAAGAGATAAGAACCCTTCTAGGCAGAGCCTAGGTAGGGAAAACCATGCCCTTGCCCTGCCCTGCCCTGCCCGCCCCGCCTCGCCGCCGACTCGCCCCCGCCTCGCTCACCCAACCCCCTCCGTTGCGCAATCGCACCGTGTGAGCACCACTCCTCCCCTGATACCCTGGCACGATTCGGTTTTGCTTTCGCCTCTCTACCGCACTCTGTCTTGCCCACACACATATATATATATATATATATATACACACGCACGTTTGCCCCCGACACGCCCATGACTCCAATCGGCGGTGGGCAAGTCAGGGGAAACAAACACAGGCCGAATCACTTCCCTGCGCGGCAACGCAGCAGACACGCAAACCAGTCCGGATGACAACGCAAAAATTCACATAAACAAACGCACACATTCATTTCTTTGTCTTTTCTTGACAACGCAACCCCAATCTACGAGTTCTCGCGAGCCCTCACAAGGCCTGCCGACAGGGAGGCCTGCGCGCGTGTGCGTGCACGGACGCAACGCACGAGGCGCCCACCCACTGGTGGGCAGCTTCGCACGTCAGTCATCGGCCCTCTGACCGTTGGACTGGTGTCGAGCTATAGAACGGCACAAAACGTAATTCTCAACAAAACAAAGCTGTAGCTCAAAGCCCAAGCCACTAATTCAGGGGGCTCACAACGGGAGCCTCCCAATCATGCGACTCATTCACTTATCTTCTTGCCCTGTGCCTTTGGCTTTGCCCTGGACACCTGCTCCACGACTAAAGGCGCACTCGGAGCGGGGGGCATGGCCGACGACGATCACTAGGCCTACTTTCTTCTGCCACTTTATCGCCTGCTTCAGCATGCCATTGGACTCGATCAACTTCCGGTGGCGATCTGTCGACAAAATCCAACGAACTTTGCCCGCCTTCACTTCGTCCATGCACTTAATCATGAAGCAACTCCTGGCCTGAGGCGAGTTCAACTGGGGAGCCACAGCACCAGCAGCTCCACCAGCCTCCATGCCCCCCTGCACGGCCACCACGTCGCCCACGTCCAAAACCGCCCCCACTTGGTCGGTGTTCTCCTTCAGCACCCCATGGAGGTGGTAGAGTACCGCCAGCATCATCACGTCGGGCTTCCTGCCCTGGGGGTGGCTGAGGTAGCCCTCTGCCTTCACATCCGCCTTGGCCAGTGCTGCCATTCCCCCTCCACGTCGAACGGCTTGATGGAGCGGTCGTAGTACATCTCCAGCTTGCACTTGTTCTCCATATCCGTCGATACGATGTTGTCCCTGGCGCACGAGCGGTAGGCGACCTCGTGCTGCAATCCCAGCTTGGCCATCTCTTTCAGCGGCCATCGCTCGTTGCTGTTCAGGTTGAAGCCGGCGGCCGCTGATGTGGGTCTGGCTTGGGGCTTGTCAGCTGGGGCATGGTCGCTAAGAGCAGAAAGGTCAATAATTTGGCCACTCGTAATTCTAAGACCACTCAAGCACCCAAGCTGCAAACGATGACAAACTTTGCTGTCATTGCGTAGTACAATCTCTTTGGATACTGCGCTGGACACACCGTCCACGAGGTGGCGCGATGGACGGGTAGAGGTCGTAGTGGTAAAGTTTTCACCCATGCACTGTTGCCCGACGGCGAACTGGCCAAGGAGCTCCGCTGGAGAACTGTCAGTCATAGTTAGATCAATATCCCACAACTCGTCGATGAGGCTGTCTGGGTACTGAGGCACTCTGTTGATAAACGGAATGATGTGTCCGCCATTGCCTCCAGCCTCCGCCTCAGCCTCGGGCCACTCCTGCCATATCTCTGCAACGCCATCACGTAGAGGGTGGTCCCTAGACTTCACATGTCGGGGGGGAGCACGCTGAGGAACAATTTGGCCCACACGGGCTGATGTCTCCAAGATCCTTTGGACACAAGCTGGTCCCCATGTCATCGAAGTATCAGTGGTAGCTGTAGCGAAGTCCTGGCCACCCGTACGCGTGGACGTCGCAATGTAGTCGATTCTGGCCACACCCAGGCCGTCAGGATTGCGCACCAGTGTGCTACGACCACTGGCACTGCCCATGGTGCCCCGTAGAGCAATTACTTCCACCCGTGCAGCACCAGAATGACGGAGAACTTTGTCCCGTTGGTCAGGCGTCAGCATAGTCTCAGCTTTGTTTGACCATACCTTGATGAGGCCTCGACGTGATGAGCAGGAATGGGCAGGAAGAAGAGATGGGACGAATACAGCACCGTTGAGTGCCGCCATTCTGCATAGCTTCGCCACTGCGTCCTGGCCCTCGTAGAGGTCGCCCACATACCACACTCGCCCTCTGGCGGGGGTGGTGCGGCAGGCTCGGTGGTAACACCACATGCTGTGCACTGGCTCGTCTCTGTCGGTCATTGTCGGTACACACACGAGACTCCAGGACGGTCGTGCCGCCGTCCAGCGCTCGGCCCTCCAGCGCGTAGTATCCAGCTCGGCGACGGCTCGCGATAGGAGGCAAAGGACGAAACATCGTAACAATGCCATCGCACTAGCATGCTGTGCGGGGGTTTGCGACCCCGCTGGCAAATCTGTGTCGCTCGACATCGCTCGAGCCAGGGCCTTATTTCTTTGTCTGCCAACATCCGCCCTAAACAGTGGTTTATTGCAGGGCGGATGTACAAGCCAGGTAGTGCAGGCTACGTGGTGAACGCTTTGCAAGCTATATGGCGCACGCTGTGTGGTGTGAGCTAGGTGGTGAGTAAGCTGTGCGGTGCAAGCTAGGTGGTATAAGCTGTGCGGTGCAAGCTACGTGGTGCAGGCCATGCGGTGCAAGCTATGATGTGCAATCTGGTTCCACGTCCAAGCCTTCGAGCTGGCTCGACACAAAGAACGCACATTTAAACACGTTCCCAGAACTAGCGGTGGACAAACCGACCTTGCTTGCAGCCATGCCCCATGCATAGAGAGTCGCTCCGCTCCGCGGGGCGGGAGGTCGGGAAAATACTCGGGACGTGGCCGCCTGGGGAATGGGGACGTGGATAGTGTGTCGCACCGAAGCGCGGTGGGCCAGAACAGGCGGCGCGACACGCTGACCACAAACTCCCGACCGTATAGCCAATTTCCGAAACGGGCTCCTCGAGAGGGAGGAAGAGGAGGAGGAGGAGGAGGAGAGGAGGAGGAGGAGGAGGAGGAGGAGGAGGAGGAGGAGGAGGAGGAGGAGGAGGAGGAGGAGGAGGAGGAGGGAGGAGGAGGAGGAGGAGGAGGAGGAGGGGGAGGAGGAGGAGGAGGAGGAGGAGGAGGAGGAGGGGAGGAGGGAGGAGGAGGAGGAGGAGAAGGAGGAGGAGGAGGGGGAGGGGGAGGAGGAGGGGGATGAAGAGGAGGAGGAGGGGTGCTGCCCTCCGCTCCGTGCGGGCGGTGGCTTCCGGAGTCGCGCCCGGCCTTCGGCGGCCTTCACGAACTGCCTGCACACCTCCTCGTTGGAGAAAGCCGCCACCGCGCAGCTGTGCACGTGGGGGCGTGTCAGAACACTCCGTCTGCGCAGGCACTGACTTTGAGCAGGCACCGGCCGTCCTGGCGTTCCTACAGACCCCACCACGACATGTCCTTGGAACCGAGGGCATGTCCTGAGAGCAAGAACAATGTCCTCATAACGTAACCCCGACGTGCTAAAACAGAACAGTTCCAGCCAGAAATGGTCCGAGAACATTTCGTAGACACCACACAAGGTCCTTGGAGCATCGTTTGGTGTGCCTATGGGCACGCCAGGACGCTTCGCCACTGCTGGATGCATGCGGCGAGAATTCGAGCCTGCCTCCAGCACCTCCCGCAGTGCTTCCTGCCGAGGGCGCTCTGGGCCTCCCGCGAGCGCCCCCCCCCCCCCCCTTTTGGCTCTTGCCTCCCTGTTCCTGTGCGCCCCCGGTCGCTCCCGACGCGTCCCGCCGTCAGCCGGCTGTCTGCTGGATCCTTGTGCACGTCGGGGAGGCCCGCCGCGCGGCGGTGGCGGGCGCTCCGCCGGCCGGGGCGCGCTGAGGCGGCGGCGCCGGCCCGGCCGCGCCCGCCTTGCTCTGCTGGTGCTCCTGCTGCTGCTCCTCTGCCCCGCTTCCCTCTCCCCGTCTGCTCTCTTCCTCCCCCCTTCAGCCACAAGGCGACGTCTCTCGGGGCGCGTTCGAAGCTGACGGGACGAGAGCGGGAAGCGCCGATGCTGCCCATGGGGCTCGAAATTTTGGACGAGACCAGAAGAGAACGAGGGCGAGATGACGAGGCGGCGGACGACGAGGATGGCAGCGTGGACGGCGGGAAGGGCAGCGAGGGGAGCGGAGGGACAACGAGCAGGAACGCAATCGCGAGGACGGGGATGAGGACATCGGATGCAGGAGGACGAGCGCGAGGAGGACTCCTCTGCTGCCGGGGAAAGAAGTTTCGCGACAAGGAGAGCGAGGGCGAGATGACGAGGCGGCGCCTGACGAGGATGGCAGCGTGGACAGCGGGAAGGGCGGGGAGGGGAGCAGAGGGACAACGAGCAGGAAAGCAATCGCAAGTAAGAGGAGGAGGACATCGGATGGAGGAGGACGCGCGCGAGGAGGACGCCTCTGCTGCCAGGGAACATGTTTCGAGTGGTATCTAGGAACCATCTGCTTTTAGCGCAGAGCTGCAGAAGCTGAGCCTCCTTCACGCCGCGCTGCTGCACTGGCACGGTGGCGGGGTCTGCCGTAAGCAGCTGGATAGACGAACGCGAACCCTCGGTTCAACATCCTGTTCCCCTTTCCGACGCGAGTCGGCATGCTGAACGAGGTGATGTCGGAGCCAAAGCCAAGCTGCGAAATCACATCGAGCACTTCCTCCTCTCTGCACCTGCTAGGCAAGTTCTTGATGATGCCCATGGCCCTGGACTCGGCGTCGGGGCTACTTTGCCTTGATGTCTGGCCACTCATCTCCAATCAGCATCCTGCCATTCCTTCCCCCTTCTCAGTCACCCATTTCTTCCTGCTGCTGCTCCTCCTACTTGCCAGTTTCTCGATCCCTCCCACGTCATGTTTCGTCTTTCCCTCGTCATGGTCCTTCTTCGGCCCTGCCCTCCCTCCCTCGGTGGCGTCCACGCCTGATGTGCGAGCTCTACCACACTCATCCCAAGATCATCACTTCCAATATGTAGATCGTTTTTTGCATATCAACAGGACGTATCGTCGTCAGCGCTCAATTGCAGCCTGTATGGCCGGTATCGCAACCGCACCATTTGAGGCGCATCCAGTTCCGAGAGAAACGTTGTCGGCCGTTCCTAGCGAAGCAGCAGGGGTCCCGAACGCGACCGCTCCTCCAACTGCTTCTGCTGTGGGCGATTCTCTTATTGTCTTCCGAATCCCCCTCTTTATCCTCCGGTGCCTCCAACTCATCTCCTTCCCTTCCCCTCATTCTCTACCTCCCAAGGAGGATAAGGACACTAGGCTCTGCGCAAGCGGGGTACAACCTTCGTCACTGCCGTCTCTGTCGCCTCACTTCTGGCGAAGTCTTGGGACACCATGCCCTCCTGCAAAAGGATGAGGACGAGTAGGATCAGGAAGCAGGGCGCCCAAAGTCGCGGTACAGACCATCGAGATCAACATGGAGGTTCGGGACCACCACGGCATGACACAGCGTATGAAACTGAGATCCCCGACCACTCTTGAAAACACATGCGCGGTTCCGTTCTACGATGTCTTACGGAACAACTGGTTGACTGACTACCTTCCAGACCACCCCAACCAAACCCGAAGACCCGAATTTCGGGTGGGGGGGGTAAGGGTTCCACATGTGTTTTTTCGATGTTTCCCGACACCCCCCCCACTGGAAATCGAGGGTAAATCTGAGCCTTCGGGTTGGGTTGGGGTGGTTAGGTGGGTGGTGATTGACCGAGACCCACACCAGCAAACCCTCTTCAGGCAGAGAGCTGCGCGCTTGCAGCGAGCGGGCACCCTCGGACGGCCCTTCCTGGCATCAGCGTGGGCAGCGGAACGATCATCGAAAGCGAGCCACCACGCTCGGGACGAGCTTCCTGGCAAGACCCTCGGCCATGCGAGAAGCTCTCACGTGTGCTGGGTGCCCCAAAACCGTGTGGCGATAGACCCGGCGGCGACCTCGAAATCCGCAGAGACCTCACCGCACGGTCCGCCACCACACGATTTTTGGGACCATGGAGGCTCCCGTCGCCCGAGACGTCCTCGGAGAACGACCCAAGTCCCAAAACCGTGCGGTGACCCCGAATCCCCACCGACTCACCACACGGTGTGGTCACCACCCCGTTTGGGAGCCCCCGAGCGTGAACTGGCACGCTCGGAATGATTTCCCCGCCGGCACCGCTGGTTACTCGATGCGCGCGTCCTGCGTGCCGGCACGCTCGGCGTGCGCGAAGCTCCAGGGAGGGGCACCGGAGTGACACGGCAGGAGGGGGGGAGGCAATGGGCCTCGCGGCGGGAGGCCCGTCAACAGAAGCCGCTTGCGCACGGCCTCGCGACGGGATGGAGGCGACCTGCGCGCTCCGATTGCGCCTCCCGGCCCCCACGGCCACACCGCTGGCAAGAAAGAGGATCGCCAGATGCACTCCGGCACGCTCCGAGGGACAGAGGCGACCTGTACGCTCCGATGGAGCTTCCCGGGCCCCATGGCCACACCGCTGGCAAGAAGGATGATCGCCAGAGGCACTCCCGCACGCTCCGAGGGAACTCCTTGACAAAACTCCTTGCGAACCTCGCTGGCCTTCCGAATTGCGCGGTGAGCGAGCCGGTACGTTCGAACAACCCCACGCGTCCGTTTCCTTGTGTCCATCCTCACAACTGTTCCTCATTACCCCCTTTTCCTCCTCCTCCTCCTCCTCGTTCTCGTCCTCCTTCACCTCGTCCTTCTCCTCCTCTTCTTCCCTCTCTTCCTCCTCTTCCTCCTCCTCCTCCTTCTCCTCCATCTGCTCCCTGTCTTTCTCCTCCTCCTCATCTCCTGACCTTCGCTCTTATCCTCCTAATCCGTCCCCGCCGCATCCGTTCGCCTTCGCGGGGACGGGCAAGGGCGGGGGGATAGAGGAAAAGAAACCGAAAACGGAGGGGGTGGAGGAGGAGCAAAAGGAAGGAGCCCCTTGAGTGGAAAAAGCAAGGGTGGAAGGTGAGCCAGACCTTCCTCTAACCAACCCCTCATCAGACCCCTGACCAATCCCCCGGCCCCCCCTGGATTTCCCCAGTTTGGCGCCCTGGACGCCTTTCGAAGATGACGAGGGCAGGGGCAAGGAGGAAAAAAAGGGCGATGGGGGGGGCTAGGAACCAACTAATATAGTTCGATGTGTCTCGGCACCTGCGTAGAGGCTCGGACCTCTGATGCTGGAAGCAGTCCAGCATGAGGCCAGCGTGGCTCAGATACGCCATGATGCGAACAATGGGGTCTCAATCCATTGATTATGCAACTTGTCTGGAATCTGCGCATGAGGCCCTCGCCCAGAAACCGGGGCAACGTCGATAGAACCGCGCAACGCGAAAGCCCGAAACTGCCGCGCCCTATCCCCTGCCCCCACCGAGACACATAGAGTGAGGGAGGAAAGAAGATGAGAAGGATGATGAGGGAGAAGGAGCTTCAGGAGGATGAGGAGGATACACCAGAGGAGGAAGACGATGCAATAGGAAGCCACCAGAGAGGGGGGAAGAGGATATAGAGGTTATCGCCTTGGACTTCGAGGAGACTCAGGATAAAGACTCGGCATTCTCGCTTCCAAGCGACAAGTTTCGTGTACACTTATCGACCGTGCAAACTTCCAAAGCAACGATAAGCCTGGTCACCCCCCCCAACCAACCCCCGTTAGTTCCCCAACCCTCCGGGCCAACACCCCCAACCCCCTCCGGCCAACCCTGGTTAACAACATTCTTCCCGTCAAACATAATATACATGAAAGGCACGCCAAAGCAGCCCGCGATCGTCATTACACGACGCGGCTCTAGAGCAACTGAAAACTGCATGGATTATCCCGGCAAAGCAACCTAACATCGATGTGTAGGAGCATATCTGGAAGCATTCCCCTTAAGATTCGGATGAGAATCCAGTTGTAGAATTCTGCTGTTCTCGCAGTCGTAGTCGCATTCGCGATGACAGTCGCAGTGGCAACGGCAGTCGCAGTCACAGCCTCAGCCTCAGCCTGCCTCAGCCTCAGCCTCAGCCTCAGCCTCAGCCTCAGCCTCAGCCTCAGCCTCAGCCTCATCAGCCTCAGCCTCAGCCTCAGCCTCAGCCTCAGCCTGCCTCAGCCTCAGCCTCAGCCTCAGCCTCAGCCTGCCTCAGCCTCAGCCTCAGCCTCAGCCTGCAGCCTCAGCCTGCAGCCTCAGCCTCAGCCTCAGCCTGCAGCATCAGCCTGCCTCAGCCTCAGCCTCAGCCTGCCTCAGCCTCAGCCTCAGCCTGCTTCAGCCTCAGCCTCAGTCTGCCTTCAGCCTCGGCCTCAGCCTCAGCCTGCCTCAGCCTCAGCCCTCAGCCTCAGCCTCAGCCTCAGCCTGCCTCAGCCTCAGCCTGCCTCAGCCTCAGCCTCAGCCTGCAGCCTCAGCCTCAGCCTGCCTCAGCCTCAGCCTCAGCTGCTTCAGCCTCAGCCTCTGCCTTCAGCCTCGGCCTCAGCCCTCAGCCTCAGCCTCAGCCTGCAGCCTCAGCCTGCAGCCTCAGCCTGCAGCCTCAGCCTCAGCCTCAGCCTGCCTCAGCATCAGCCTGCCTCAGCCTCAGCCTCAGCCTGCCTCAGCCTCAGCCTCAGCTGCTTCAGCCTCAGCCTCAGTCTGCCTTCAGCCTCGGCCTCAGCCTCAGCCTGCCTCAGCCTCAGCCTGCATCAGCCTCAGCCTCAGCCTCAGCCTGCCTCAGCCTCAGCCTGCCTCAGCCTCAGCCTCAGCCTGCCTCAGCCTCAGCCTCAGCCTGCTTCAGCCTCAGCCTCAGTCTGCCTTCAGCCTCGGCCTCAGCCTCAGCCTGCCTCAGCCTCAGCCTGCCTCAGCCTCAGCCTCAGCCTCAGCCTGCCTCAGCATCAGCCTCAGCCTCAGCCTCAGCCTCAGCCTCCCTCAGCCTGCTTCAGCCTCAGCCTCAGCTCAGCCAGCCTCAGCCTCAGCCTCAGCCTGCAGCCTCAGCCTCAGCCTCAGCCTCAGCCTCAGCATGCCTCAGCCTCAGCCTCAGCCTGCCTCAGCCTCAGCCAGCCAGCCTGCTTCAGCCTCAGCCTCAGGCCCTCAGCATCAGCCTGCAGCCTCAGCCTGCCTCAGCCTCAGCCTCAGCCTGCAGCCTCAGCCTCAGCCTCAGCCTCAGCCTCAGCAGCCTCGGCCTCAGCCTCAGCCTGCCTCAGCCTCAGCCTGCATCAGCCTCAGCCTCAGCCTCAGCCTGCCTCAGCCTCAGCCCTCAGCCTCAGCCTCAGCCTCCTCAGCCTCAGCCTCAGCCTGCTTCAGCCTCAGCCTCAGTCTGCCTTCAGCCTCGGCCTCAGCCTCAGCCTGCCTCAGCCTCAGCCTGCATCAGCCTCAGCCTCAGCCTCAGCCTGCCTCAGCATCAGCCTGCCTCAGCCTCAGCCTCAGCCTGCCTCAGCCTCAGCCTCAGCCTGCTTCAGCCTCAGCCTCAGTCTGCCTTCAGCCTCGGCCTCAGCCTCAGCCTGCCTCAGCCTCAGCCTGCCTCAGCCTCAGCCTCAGCCTGCCTCAGCATTCAAAATGTGGCCCGGGAATGGAATTCTGGGAACTCGAAGAACACGAAGTGGCCTACAGTTGGCTCCGGGC